ATATATATATATATATATATATATATATATATATATAACTGTACTTTTGATAAGCAATCACGAGATTTTACTTTATTCTTTATTTACAAACAAACTGACTTTCCACTGGATTTCGCCTTCTTCAGATCCTAGAAAGTCGAATGGACTGCAATCTACCCAACTTAACAGGACCATAATAAAAACAGAGAAAACACGAACCCTCCGAGTAATAAAAATAGCAAAAATAACTAATTTCCTTTCATTACAATTGAAATCGTGGATCGGTGTTTTTCCTGTTTTGGCTGTGTAGATATCAAGCTGGATAGATTAAAGTCAACTCGATCTTTCCAGGCTCTGGAGAGAGCCAAATTCGCTGAAACATTAGTTTGTTTGTAAACAACGAATGAAGTAACACCTCGTGTTTGCTCACCAAGAGTATAGTGAAGTATTTTAACAATGTTATATCTTTTTTGTTTTCTGCCTACTATGATTTCGCGGCAGGGTACTAAGCGAAATACAACCACAACGTTGCTGAGATATTTGCAAAACTCTGGACCGCAGGTGTCTATGGACCATAGACATGTGGACCATAGACACCTGCGGTCCAGAGTTTTGCAAATATCTCAGCAACGTTGTGGTTGTATTTTAACAATGCCGACGTTAGTAGAAAGCCGGTAATGGGAAGGAAAAAATATACATGTATATGTATATATATATATATATGTGTATACAAATATGCGTATATACACATATGTATATATATGCTGTTAACAGAGATGTTAGTTTCCGTTTCGCCAGGCGGATATATTTTAGAACAACATGGCTTACATTCGTTGGATGCCTAGGATACCATGGTGTGCAGTGTGGATCTATTTTGCCTCACAGAGATTTCTTGCTGCACTTTTTGCATTCAGTCTATAGTTTTTCGAACATTTATGTTTTGTCATGTATGACCCGTAGATGCCTATTTTTTACACTTAAGTCGTCCATTGCTGGTAAAGAGAGCAGCTGCTACTGAGAATTTCGCAGGTGTTGGACTACGAGTATGCCTTCGTCTTATTGAAACTCAGAAGTTCGAAACTTAAGGATGGCATTTGGCCATAACAAGGATAAGCGACAAGTAGTTGACGAAATTTCTTCAAAGTTGGCACGGTGTTCACAAAATGTGCGTTCATCACTCTGCCTTCACAGACTGTCTTTAGAACGAACCTCTGGAAAAATACTTTTGTCTTTTTACTTTTTCTTTGCCCCTAGCAAGCCTTATTTCCAGAACCTTTCAATGAAACAGTCAGTGTTGTTCTCACTAAAATTTATTCTATAATATACAATTCACATTTTATCCACACTTGCAATTGACATGTCCCGCTTGAATACTCGGAGGGCCCGTCCTCACTGTTTGTGCGGGCCCCAGCATATTCTTCATTTCTCGGAGTTTTGCTGGTTTAGCCATTGTGTTTCTTTGGAGTTCCAAGGACATCCTGGCCAAAGTCTGCCCCAGGTCTTCACCACCACAGGCAGTCGCAGCCCTTGTGGATCAGAGGGAGATTTTCCACCATGCGACTAGTTTGATACCAGAACGATGGTGAATTTTGGCATTAGTTTGGTCTTAGCTTGGATTTCTCATGGAAACGCCGGACTTCTTCTCAGCTTGGGAGATCCTGCCAGGGGACGAATTTCCTCGCTATTCATCGCAGCCCGACGCCCAGGAACACCTCCCAGCCACGATGAAGCGGTAAACCGTTGGAACGGTTCTTACTTACAATAAACAATTATCACAAGGAACTTTTTATACCTAATTACATAGTTCTTTACCTCGAACTTGCAATCCATGCTGGAGCTCTACATGCTGTATGGTCTCATGAGACATTCTAAACAGTAATGTTCCCAACAACGGTTGCATCTGGTGCTAATTTATTTCGAATGTTTTGCAATAACACCACATAATAGCCTCCATATTCTTGATCCACTGGCACCGCTTTCTTCAACAACTGAGAAGTAAACGAAGTGGAAGCAGGTCAGTTTCAAACGTAACGCAAGTATGTGTTCTTCTTAAAAGTATTCTGCGACATTTTCCGCATACTCGCTGCAGAGCTGCCACGGCCTTGTTTACGCGAATGACTGCTCCTGACACTTCTCTTTCTCCACAACCTTTGTCTTACATGTGTCAAAGGATCACGTTATGAACAGTGGACATAGTACGAACGTGGCGCTTATTTCTCCACTTTAGCCTGCCAGCACACCGACCCAACTGCGTTATGCCTTCTCTTCATCTTCAGATAGATAAGTTACTTGAGAAGTCCTTCCCTATTTCATGCGCAAGCATTAATACGATGTATTCATTTCATGTGGCTCGTGTGACGCAGTAGTTGGAGGTGATACTGTGACACACGCGTGGGGGGTCGGCAAATTGGTACCAGACTTGTCTGGGAGGATAGCAACACTGGCTCGATACATCGGTAGGCCACCACGACTCATTGTGAAGGCTAGATATGGATTCAATCACCACCAACGATGCTTAATGAAGTCGAATGCATGGCGCATCCCTCAGGAATTGACCAACGCCGAGAGCTTTATCCTTTATCCTTTATTCATTTCCTACAGCAAGTGGACCTGTTTTTTCCGTAATCCATGGCGTTTTCATAAAAATGATGGTTTGTCAACAGACTTTTAACTCAGTTTGTTTTTTCCATGTGGTATATAGGATATAGGCCATATGGGTGGTAACAGAATGTCATACAAGAGCGAGATTGGAACTCCAGTATGTATTTATATTGCTGAGCTTACGCAAGGTTCATAAAGATGTTTATTCGGCCAACGCTTCGACGTCTTCTTCTTCATCAGAGCCGACGATACGAGTTGACGTTCCACAGTTGTTCCTTTTCTCGACGTAGCGTCTTCGTTTCCCATCGAATCGGATCATCCTCAGTGGAACATCTCTCGAATGAGCCATACTCACCCGGCGATGCCCCTTTATATATGGAACTTCGATGTTTCTTTAATTGCTGCGATCTAATGATTTTCACTTAAGAACAGAGACCGATGAATGTTTTCGTTTTTCCAACTCTTTTCGGCTTCCAGAGCACATACTTCGGCGGTCCGTATCAGTTTGCCTCAAACAAAATCATTTCCTAAATTTGGGCCATAAACAGCTACGCTTTTATGCACTGAAGCACTCGTTATCGAAAGACGATTTGGACCTAATCAAAAACCGGCACCGTCCATTACCTTAGGCATGAAGAACTCAATTTTTGACTAATCACTGACTGTTACTTAACTTTCAATCGTTGTGGTGAATCGTCATTATGTGGAATAAAAAATACAGAAGTAGGCTCAGCACGATCTTTAAAACATATGCGAATTATGCACCTATTTCATTCCTAGTAGGTATTGTTCTGTCACGTGTGGAGCAATGGTCGGAGGCGCCCTGCAATACACATAGGATCGATCCCCGCGCCCACGCTCACCAAACCTTCTATAGGTTAATTGGTACCAGGCTTGTCTGGGATGACAGCAGCGCTAGCTCAGTAGGCCATTGCGAATCACAATAAAAGCCAGATATGCATTCAGTTTTCTCCAACGATGCTTAATGAACTCTAATGTGCATGGCGCATCCATCTGAAATTGATCAACGCCGAGAGCTTTATCCTTCATCCTTTTATTGTTCCTTTTCGAAACATGTGTAATGTGTATTTTTTTAAGACTTTCATATTGTTTTCATATAGTTCCTTTCCATACGATGACCATTCACCACCATGAGACCTTAGAGAGGAAAAGGCAATAAATTATTGAAAAAGTTTTTGAATTTTGTGAACAGAAGAATTTATCCTTATTTTCAACCGACTCTACACGACATGAACGAGAAGAAGCAAAAAATGGCGAAGACGCTGAGAAATCTCTTGTGTCTAACGCTCTGAAGGAAGAGAGGAATCGGAAGAAGAGGACGAAGGTGAAGTGGTCAGCAATGAGACGTCAAACAGAGGTGCGGGAGATCTTTGAGTCTTGGATGATATCAGTTCGGTGTGGCTACTGCCCGAGGTCATGTGGATGTAAAGAAGCTACAATTTTTTGAGCACTGTTTATTTCTGATATTTGGAAACGTCGCGGGAGAACCAGATATAGGCAAAACAAGAACCATTTGTAAGTACCCCCAATTGCCAGAGAAATGAGAAACTCCGTTGGTCTCTGTCTTTAGGTGAGAATTGTTAGACTACCGTAATTTTAAGGATTACTGGCCACTTCAGTTTTCGGAGAACGTCCTACTGGATCTGTGGTCATGAAAAGAACAAGATGTGAAGAGCTTTCTGGTCACGTTAATTTCTGAAAATTTAAATTTTTTCCTGTTATCCTTGTTTTTCATTTGTTGTTCGAACCACATCAATGCTTACAACTAACCTTAGGTAACGGTGAACGTAGTAGAGCGTCCACGTCATCGGATTCTTCACGAATCCTGAAGCTGGGCGTGACTTAAAGAATAAATACGCAACGAGAATTCCGGAAAGTAGGAAGAACGTATCGACAGACAGGAAAGCATTTGTAAAAGTCGTCGATAGCAATGGATTCCACAGAGAGAGCATTGGAAGTAGCGCCTCTGCAATATGTCAAGCTAATATAACGGTCCCATAAGCTTTGAGATGAACGCCTAGAAATAGGGTACCATTCACGAACCACTTAAGCTCGCCGTTCCAATCGTGTGCCCAGCAGCCACCCAAGTCATCGAGATAAATCGGATCGACGCCAAGGATCGCAGGATACCTTCCTTTGGTGGACGTACGTCCAAAAGAATAGCGCCGTTCGAGTAGAATGAGAAAGCAAGAAATGCGCTCATAACTAAAAAAGAAAGGTCAAAAGCAGCTGTGAGAAGGCTTAGCAATGATTTCAAATTTCTGAAATGAAATAGAAGTTGTTCAATTTCTACACTCGTAGAGAGATTTCTTGAAAGCTTAAAGCTTTTATAGTGGATCACCTTGTGAAGTTAAAGATAACAAATACACGCATTGCCTTTCGTTAGCGCTTTGGCAAGGGATCGTACTGTTGAGAACAAGGATTACTCACTATTTTGCAGAATTTACCACCTCCTTTGAACAAAAATTTCAAAAGAAAAAAGACGGCAATACAGACATAAGTACAGAACGAACTTTCAGCACGTGAAAACTTGATATCCATTCGTTTTGGAAAAGAAACTATTGCGCTGGGCGTTGGGTTACGGACCAGAGGGTCCCAGGTGTCACAAAGTCCTTTGTCAGCTTTTAGTTTGGCAGGACGGAAATCACGTTTTCCAAGAATGCCGAACACAGAGACGTTGGCCATTACAGCGTCTATGTTGTTATGTCGTCTACGTGCCAGTGTGTTGTTCAAAAAGTAATCTCGGATTTGCTATATTTCTCTGAAATATGTTTTTGCAACAGTTTCTTCTCGAGTGCCACTATATTGTATATAAGCGTAAAGCTCACTTGACATACTTTTATTCCAATTATAATGCGAATTACAGTGTAAATTTTCTTCTTAAGAAAAGTCGATGCTTAAAATTTCAGGTGTCAAGACAGCAAATTGGACAAATATACTTCTGTGCATCCAAACTCGGAAGTACGCATCGACAACGGCTCGAAACATTGATGATGTGTTGACACTTGACACTCGGACGGCCATTCTTCACTGTACTGATTGTGCGGGCCCCAGAAAACATTTTTCGGAGCATTGCTGGTTTAGCCATTCTGTTTCCTCGAGCTCGCGAGGTCACGCTGGCTAAAGTCTGCCACAGATCGTTACCATCATAGACAGTCGCCGTCCTTTTGGATGAGAAGAAAATTTGTCACTATGCAACTGTTTTGATACCAGGACGGTGGTGTATCCTGGTAATGGTTTACCCTTAACTGGGTTTCCTGATGGAGACGCTGGATTCTTTCTCAGCTTGGGAGACGCTGCGAAGGGATGGAACCCCCACTGTACTTCGCAGTCCAACACCCAGGAACACCTCCCAGCCACGATGAGGAGGTAAACCATTGGGAGGTTAATGAGATATTAGACCAAGGAATTGTTAACGGACGCACAGCGATTTAACACCGGTTCTGAAAACTTGTTCGTGGTTTCAACAAAAGGTCTTCATCAGAAGGGAGGTCGCTGACGTTCTTCTGCTATTCACGTCGATGAATTGAAGAATTTAGTGGAGGCAAATACAAGCAAAACTGTTCGGGAACTTGCAGAAGGACTCTGCATTTGCGCCTCAGCTGTTTACAGCATTGAAGAAACCTGGAAAGTCGAAGATACTCGACAGATAGACGTCACACGAATTAAACAACAATCAAATAATTCGCTGTTTTGAGATGTTGTCGGAGCTTCCTCAGTGCAAACAGGACGAACCGTCTCTTGAACGTTTTGTGATGTGCGGCGAGAAATGGACCCTCTACGAAAACTGGTGACGATCGACTTGGTGGTTGGGCGGCAATGAAACTCTGCAGCACTTCCTAGAATCGAATTTGCACCAAAGACGACCATGCTGAGCGTCTGGTGATTCGTAGCTTGTTTGACCCATCAGAACTTCCTGAGTCCCAACGAGGAGATTACGGCGATGAAGTAGACCCAGTAAATACGCGAAAAAAAACTATAGATGTTAACAGCCGTGTTCTGCATTGATCAACAAATAGGTACCAATCCTTCTAAACAATAAAGCGTAACCATATGTCACACTACCGATGTTGGGGAGGTTGAAGAAGCTCAGCCACAACACTCGGTCTTATCCATTGTACTCTCCAGACTTACGCCTACCATCTACCTCTTCTTCATGCATCTTGACGACTTTCGGCTCGACGAATAGGTCAGAAACCAAGACGAGGTCAAAACAAGCATCAACGACTTCATCACCTGCAGAAATTCAGAATTTTGTGAAACTCCAGAATGCATAAGCCTGTTTCCTTTCGCAGAAAACTTTCGATTCTAGCAGTTTTTGAAAAAGTATAGTTCATTGTGAACTCATATATGTCACTGTGCAAATACAGGTCGAAATCCGGCATTAATTTCCGAGGAACGTAGTAATTACGATACTACTTCTGGCAAAGCGACTAATTGTATAAGAGAATACTAAGTAGTAGTTTATTTGTGTTTGTAAATTTTAATTGGCTAATTGCCGATGAGCTGCTCATACCTGTACTGGTCTTTATGTTACAACTATTATGAACATGTAGAACATAGTCCATGGTAGTAGCAAGAATAGCCCACAACACGAAAAATGACAGGAAAGTCCTAAATTTTAATCTACCACTCTGCATTTTAGTTTACCTGCATAAGACGCGCAGACGGTAAATATGAAATGCTAGCTCACATGAAAATCCAGAACGATGTGGTCGGCTCGACGCTTGTTGGGACGCAAACTGTATCAGTAAACGTTAGAGGTAAAAAGTGTCCCTCAACGACTGAACTCATAAGTTGAGGAATGTCCTGAAAGAAAATTCATTGTTGCCGACAAAACGTTGATAACGCTCCCGTTCGTCAGATGAATGTGAGACCTGCGCGAGAAAACGACAAAACCATAGCAATCAGTGGTGTGCTTGACAACCCATCCCTGTGACAACATGGAAAATCACTCACCCGCTCGCTGCAATTCCTTGGCATGCAAACTGCCAGCTTTATTGTTAGTTTTTCCAGCGCTACGTCGAAACTCTGTAACATAGCAGAATTACGTGGATCATTAAAGAGAATATTCTCGCGTGTGGTTTGCAGTTGGTAGTGCATTTGGGTACAAACGTTTGCTAGGTTGTTGAACGTTATTCACTCGATGTCTCTGCTTTGCATTTGATGAACTGATAATTCCCACGAAAATCGAAAAAATAATTGTATAATATAATTCACTGGGGTGTTAGAGAATTGTCAGAACTACGTTTTACGTTAGGCAGGACTTGTACAGGGTGTCTCTAAATATGGAACATTACTTCGTGATGATTCGCCAACCGATTTTGCGAACGCTATAACCTGAACGCCATTGGGAATATTCGTAAAAAAAGACGACAGGCCTAATTTGCATCCCAAGTCGAGAGTACTGTGAGTGCAGGCCATCTAGGTGACTAAGTGACGTACTGCTGTCTTTGGCACCCTTTCTATGTACGAGCACTTCAGTCCCGTCTACGTTAAGGTAACCGGTTTTTAGTTCTTTTGTCAGCTAGTATCTTTACGTTTCCACAATGGCAGGAGGCATTGTTTATGTTGAAAACGCGTGGCTGCATTTGTCATCTTATTCTTATCACGGACACCCACCAAGTTGCTAAACTGCATTCCAGCAAAGCAGTAATGAGTTTCATATGGAGCGAGCAATTCATTGCACTCGACATACGAGCCAATGCTGGCCGTCGTCAACTCCATAATTCCTGCCGGTAACTTCCCAAAAGCATCTAATTCTGAAATTTCAATAAAGATGCTATCAATGCATTATGATTTCGGAGCTGTTATCTTAGAGATCTTCTCAGTTATGGATGGTGCTGTGATGAAATGACTTCACCTAGAGATAGGCGCTCGACATCTCAACCCTTATCATGTTCGTTCCACTTCTAATCTCCCTAAAGAACAAACATATGAGATGGTGCTATGCAGAAATCGGTAAAAGTTTCTAAACGGGATGAGGCGGAACTCGCACTAGTCAGTGAGCAATAACGTGGTAATAAGTTTGCAGCATGTACAGGAATAATTAGGACTGGAATATTTGGATCGAGAGCTCTTCAAAAGCCTTTGGTTGTAAAATTCATTCAGGCTAGAATTTTTGAGCATCAGAGAAAAGCGTAATGTGTAAACCAGATACAGCACAGTATCTCAATTTCGTGAGCTTGCGAATGTAGGGATAAAGTTGGAACTGAATTTTTTCTGCAAATAAAAATTATTGAGTGGGAAGGCCACAGTTCAACAGATCAATAGGCAAGCCTTGTGGATCAGGAATTGGTCCAAAGTGACCATAAAAACACTAGGACTTTCATTAGCAGCATTTTCCTCTTTATTTTAAAATATGGGAATATGGGAATATCGAATTAACTCTCAAGAAGTTTTGTATCAGCTCTTTTAGATATACCGACGTTTGCTTACGTTTGGCAGCGAACATGTTCTTGTTAAGGATTTCCTTCTGAGACGAATCGCATCCACCATGTTTAGCGCACGATTTCATGGTTAGTATAAATTCCTGGAGACTTTTGGAGAATACCGCCATATCGAGTTCGCATTGTTGGGAAACGTCTCTGGCCAACGAACTATCGAAATCATTGAATAAGGCGAAACTCTGGAACGATAAGAATGTTCGTGTATAATGCTGAGATATTTGCAAAACTCCGGACCACAGGTGTATGCAGTGGGCAACGAACACGCCCTGTTGTCCTTACCGGAGAGTAGCGCACTTCACCACCACGCCATCCGGGTCCTTCGTTTTGCCTGTCACTCAGCTAGTTCTATTGATCTTTTATATCAAATATCTCAGCATTATATACGAGTTATATTTCGCAACATACCCTGCCATTAAGAAGAAAAAGGCAGTAAATAAAAGGGTTAAGATTGTAATAAGAATGTTATTAATGAAGTGCTAGAGAGATAGCGATGCTCCTATGACCTTTCGCTGAGCGTGACAAAATAGAAAAATAGGCTTTAAGAGGTTGTTAAAGCTGTTTTGCTTTGATTGCAAACAGTCGAAAACTCCTTCTTACCCTGATGCCTTTAAGTCGTAGCACCCTTGCTATGTGTCTTGTATGTATTATTTAGGAATAAAACAAAACAATTCTTTATTATTTATTTGCCAAATTAATTAGAAAAGCCTAAGAATCCATTACTTTTTTTCTCTTGGCTATTGATGCCAATATTACTATTCTGAAGTCTATGAATGCTGAGTCTGACTACATCAAATTCACCTGGGAGAAACTAATAGGAAATCGGTTTCGATTGCTTAACGCTCAAATTAACTTGTCAGATAGCGGTTAAATGAAAAAGTGGTACCGAAAACTAAGTAATAAAGACATCCTCACTCATTTCTTCTCCTCCCACCTTTCACACACAAAGAGGGCTCTTGTAAGAAACATGTTTCGAAGAGTCACCTCTGTGTGCGTGAAGAAAGAAGTAAGGGAGCAATCGCGGGACCTAGCTCGGGAAATAGCCATCTCCAATGATTACGAAATAGTAACTCCACGAGAAAAGTCTAGAAGGAGAGCGACGCCCCAAAAGGAAAAACGTGGCCAAGACAAAACCCCGTTTATGTTACCCTTTATTAGCGATGAGGTGCAGTTATAAAGCGATGTTTAACAAGGGTAGGTCTAGAGGAATCATTTGCGATAGTTGAAATACCACTCGATATTCTTTGTCGCCAGTTAGTTCGTAATCGCCTATATGACCGTCTATGTGAAACACAGAATTGCGTAATTTGCCCTTACGGCAGGGACGGTGATTGCACGAGTTCAGGTACGATCCACCTGATCTCTTGTAGTAATTGCGGAGATGAATATATTGGCGAAACGGGCAGACCTTCATGTATCTGCATAAAAGAACATATAGACGGCAAACGAAAAGCAAGACAAGACACGCCATTAGGAATGCACGGGATACAGAAGTATAGAGGAAACGATTTTGCTGTAGAAGTCACTTTCCTCGAGCAGGATGCCCAAACACCAACGCGCAAACGTCTTGAAGCTTTCTGGATAAATGCCAAGAACCCTAGAATGAATAGCAGGGAGGAATGCCCGGAGATCACACGTGATCTCGCCCCGTACCTTCGCATCGACTTTTGATATGGGTGCATTTATCGACCATATGAGCTTCTGATCAGCTGTTGCTCCTCAGTGGAAGGCACGAAATAAACGGCGGGTTTTTCGAGAACCTGCTGATCGCAGGACTATAATTTAGATTTCCATCGTTCTGTATATGTTATTGAAGCGTTTGACGTAGTTAATTGCTTATCAATATACCCCTCCAGGCTCTGAAGAAGGCGCTACTGCAGAAACGTCACCTTCAACGGCATAAAGAATGAAGTAACACCTCGTGTTTGCTCAGTAAGAATATCGCGATCTACCAATGATGTCTATAACAGAATTTTAGCATCGAAATAGAACTAATTCCTTAAAGAGCCTAATGTATATTTATTTCGCTTGGGATTTAGTGATTTTATGGTGAAAACAATTCAACATTCGAAAACGACTGGATATGAGTTACCTCCGGAATGTGTGGAATCGCTTGAGTCAGTGAAAGAAGAGTCAGTAAAGAGTGAATAAATGGTGTCATTCCGCCAATCAATAGTTTAAGGGCGCTTTTTATGACCGCCCGATGATAAGCGCCGTCAGGAGTAAATCACTACTCCCACTATAAATCCTAGCCGTTATCGCGTTCGGGTTTCCTCCCATGTGGTACAGATAAAAAAAGGGCAATGCTTTGAACATGATCCTATAAAAACGTGTCTTACTCCATACCGACTGAAATGAAATCCTTTATCCCAAACGTTATTACTTACTGGGAAACCATTCTAGGGGGGATGAATCCCTTTCATTTGTACATCGCAGCCCGACACCCAGAAGCACATCCCAGCCATAATGAGGCGATGGAGCGTTAGGAGAATAAAAAAAACTTATAAAAGCGATCTCTGCCATTCTGGTTGAAACGCAGTCGAAAGAGAGTAAACTCCATTTGATTCACTAAGACCGATAGCAACCTACGGTGATAACATAAAACATTCCAGCATTATGGCAATTGGAATGAGAAAACGAAGTACTGTGCTTACCGTCTCCGCAAATGTCGTCTCGTAATAAGATTACACATGAAAGGTAATGCAATAACGGATTCCGACAGGCATCATTGCTTTGGACCAAAGAAATACATCTATAGTTACCTATAGTCCCGTTGATCGTTGAGTGACCTGAGCAGGCCCGAGTAAATCTTCCATTTTTCCCTGCCGTGTGCAGCAGCGGCCCATTAGGTTCTGCTCGCTCTAAGGACTCGTCGAGCATCATATCTTTCTTGTAGGCTTCTCGTGAAGAACTCTGACCATCGCGTCGGTGGTCTTTCCGCAGTGCATTTAACATCCCGAGGAATCCAGTCACAAACGGCTATTGTCCATCGGTTGTCATTCATACCCTTCACATGTCCGGCCCATTTCATCTTCGACTGTTTGGCGTACAGAACGGCATCTTTAATTTTTGATCGTTGACGCAGATCGGAGCTTCTGATCTCTTTCCTTACTTATGTGAAGTGGGATACTCCTACCATCGTTTTTTCGATTGCGCGTTCGATAACGCTGAGTGACCTTCCACCCTGCTTACGCAGCGACCAGGTTTCTGACGCATACGTTAGGGCAGGAAGTACCGTTGAGTCGAAAAGGTGGGCATGGAGTCGGGTGTTCTCTTCACTACATCCTCGATGTCTTGAAAGCTCCCCAAGCCGGTACTTTTCTTCTGCTCAGCTCTGGAGCTAGGTCGTTCATCATATTGATTTCCCGACCTAGATAGACATAACTGGAGCATTCGGAGATATTCGTTCCATTGAGCGTGAATGGGGCAGACGAAACCAAGCCGTTCCTTATAAACGTCATTTTTGTGAGATTTAGTCGAAGGTCAATCTTTCTACAGACTCTATCAAAGTCGGCCAGCATACGTTCCGCTTGGCTAATGTTTGGTGTTATAAGGATAATGTCATCGGCAAAGCGAAGATGGTGTAACTGCCGACCATCGATTTTCACTCCCATATCATCCCGTTCAAATGTTCGCATGGTGTTCTAGACGATGGCGGTAAATAATTTTGGCGAGATGGTATCGCCTTGCCTTACTCCTCTTTCGACGTCAATGTTAATATCGTTGTAGAATGGTGATACCCTGGTTGTGAAATTTTTGTACAGCTCACGAAGAATCTTTATGTACTGAGTAGGGACTCCTTGACTATCAAGGGCTTTCCAGACTGTTTCCATCTCAACTGAATCAAAGGCTTTCTGTAAATCGATGAAAGTGAGACAGAGCGGTCCTGTGTACTCTCGCGATACTTCAATGAGCCGTGTTACCGCGTGGATGTGGTCCATCGTACTAAATTCTTTTACTACACCATAACACACAATTTTGACGCCATTCCAAAGTATTATTCCATGGCGCTAAATACCGAAGGCATAAAGTAAGCAAGCTTAGGGGGTGGATGGTTATCACCAATGGTGTTTGTCTTGAGGTTTGAATAAGTGAACATCACCCTCCTTTCCTACCCAGCCGTCTTATTTTAAGATGATTTCCACTAGCAATGATGGTGCTTGATATTCATACCTTGTAGGTTTCTTTCTCATCAAACCATCCATTTCTACAATGTTTGTTCTTCTAAACGTCATAAGTCGTTGCTGAGTCTAGAGATGTCTCTAAATTTGTGGTTATCGGGTCATTATGGGGTCTATCTCCTAGGGTTTTAGTGCAGAACTCTGATGATCGGTTCGGTGATCTTACTGCAGTACGTTTGACATCCCAAGGAATGCAGTAACTAACGGCTTTTGTTCAGTGGTTCCCGTTCGTACAAATTACGTGTTCGACCCACCTTATCTTTGATAGTTTTCCGTGTAGAACGGCATCGTTGATCCAGGTCGGGGCTTCAGATCCTATCTCTAACGTGCGTCATACGAAATACTTCTAACGTAGTCTTTTTCACTGCGCCTTCAACAAAACTGCGTGATCTTTCATCCTTCTTACGCAACGACCAGATTTCTGACGCATATGTTAAGGCAGAAAGAATTGTGAATTCGAAAAGGTGTGCACGAAGTCAGATGTTCTTCGTTCTCTTCACTACGTCCTCGATGCTCTTAAAAGCTCTGCAAGGTGATCGTCTCTACTTGCTCAACTCAGGAGCTAAGTCGTTCATCACGTTGACTTCTCGACCTAGATAGACAAAACTGAACATTCGAAGGCATTTATTCCATTGAGCGTAAATGCATACGTACCCAGTCTGTTCCTCACGAGCATCTTTTTTCTTGTGAGATTTAGTCGAAGACCAATCTTTCCACAGGGTTTATCAAAGTCGTCAAGCATTCCTTCTGCTTGGCTGTTATCAGTTT